CTGAGTGTATTGCTAATCTAACGGCTTCTCAACTAGGCGCTATTCTGCCCAACATTTGGCTTCAGGTTTACCCTATTCCTGGCTTTTGGGGGCAGTATATACCTCAACCCAGGATTGAAAAGCTAAAAAAGCGACGTTCAATACGACATTACGTGACCCAACGAGAAACCCCCGATTATCAATAGAATGCCGACATATACAAAGGCTTTCCAGCCAAGAACGTCCCGTCCGGCCACGATCCCAAGCTCTCCCCCGCGGGGGATCATAGCGTCGAGTCCAAACAGTAACCTAAAGGCGATGATGTTGATCGGTGGAGCTATCCCAGGGGAGGCGAGGAAGGGCCGCCATTATACACACAGGTTGGCGACTGAATCATGGAGATTGGGGCTCTAGAGTATCTATAGGCCCCAAACAGTTGGCCCCGATGCTCCGCCCTAAGGAGGAAAGGTCCTCACATTACAAAACATGGCAGAGCGCTTTGACTGGGAGACAAACGGCCTCGACAGAGCCAGATTCGAAGCCCTTACTAAGCTGCTACGGCTGCGCTATCATGGCCAAGTCGGGGTCCCGACGCGTTTCGACGAACCGCATCTTTACGCTCCAGACGACGGTGATATTGCGTTGGATGACGCCGACTCGACCAAATTGTCAACCCTCGTCCACTTTGGCAGCAGCAGATTGCAAAGAGCATTCCTTGACAGACTAGCAGAGTTGGTGGCCAACGAGAAAGGCGGTCGCCACGTCAGCGCTGCCTCGATGACCAACTCTCAGGATGAAGTCCGAGTGTTCGTCGCTAGGAATAGCAAGCTCCGTCCGAGGGATGAAGCTTTTGTGAGGCGTACTGAGGCGCTGCTGAGGCGCGTTGCAGAGGATCAAGGTTGGGCTCCGATATGTCCCCGACAACGTGTCTGAGACTGCGCATAGGCTAAGATCAGGTATCAAAAAAGACATAAGCAGCCGGGACGAGCTTTGAGCTCTCATCCTCGAGCACTACGAGGCGAGAATCCACGACTACATTTGCGATCTCAGACAAGTGCTCAAGCGATATATGCAAGGAGAGCAACGGGAATCCCCGTCGCGACTTGTCGCCGCCTTGAGGGAACTCTACGATGCCGCTTTTGCCCAGTATGTATCCAACACAGGGAAAAACGAGGCGCTGGTAGCCCAAGCACACCAATTGTGCAAGACCTTCTCAGAGGACGACTTCAACGAGCTTTGGCCCTCTGGCTCCCGGAATCCGAGGGCCTCCCTTGGTTTTCTAGGAAGATTCCGGACCTCGTTTGGCGTTCTTTTACGTGCTGCAGAAAAGCTGCCAAGGATGGCCACGATTTCCATCTCTACCGTCTGCTGCCCAGCCCCTTGTAAAGCCTCAGGCTCGGAGCAAGGCCAAATTTGGACGCCGGGCAGACTCTTTCAGCATCTTGGATATGCATCCACAGACGATGGAGTCAATGACCTCCTGTCAGTCGGGGGGAACGGCCTCGGTGGACTAAACAGAAGCTCGCGCAGGAATTCGACAAGCTAAAATCGTCGACATGGGAGGTCCACGCCGAGATGCAATTGCTGCAGCTCTATATCCGTCCCCCCAAAATCGGCAGCGTGGGCGCCTCGGCTGTTGATTACATTGGCTGCAGCAAAAGGAGTTGCTTTCTATGTTGGCACTTCCTCGCCGTCTTTGGCGGAGTCAGAACGAGAGGATCCCACGGCAAACTATACAACCTCTGGGGCCTCCCCGATTTTCAGGGGTTATCGATGGCCCAGATGGAGCAAATTATAAGGCCGGTGAGGGATCTGGAGTCTTCGCTTAGCGCCGAGATAATTAATCGGGATGGCGTGGTAGTGCCGCAGGCGAAGGAATCGACCCTCGGTGCCGCAACCATAAGCACCGTCTTGCCAGGATCGAATACGCCCTCAACGACTTCTATGGTATCAAGTTACCTGCAAAATCAGCGAGCCAATCTCCTCGTAAAAGCGTCGAGTGCAAAGTAAGTCGTTTCTGAGATTGGCACCCCTAGGAAACTGACAGATTCAATAGGGGCGCCTCATATTCGGACGATGAAACGGAGATAGAACAGCCCACCACGGAAGTCGTGGCTGCTTCAGGTCCCTGTGGGGGTTTTGATTGCAAAAAGACAACCACGGGGAGGTGCTCGCATTGCAGCGGAGCTTGGTTCTGCAGTGTCTCCTGCGAAGACGAGGCCGCTGATCGACATCTGTTCGCGTGCAACCGCCGGCCTCTTACAACGGCAGACCTTCTCCGCCGGGACTGTTTGCACCATTACCACCCCGAGTACCCTCAAGTACGAGAGGACTATGGATTTCAGCGCTACAGGAACCGCGGCGAGGAGTCAAAACTCATGGGGCTATACGTTGGCATCTTCAACTACCAATCGGTTCCCAGTCAAGAAGTGGATAGCTGGATGACGCAGGGCATACTTGCTGATAAAGTCATCGAGCTGTTCTCGGCGCTGCCAGAGCGTTGCCGCGGTGGCTACTATACCTGGTTTCTCCAACACAGGTATATTCTCGATGATAGCAAAGAGTTGGCGCGAGATGAAGGCAATGTACACAACTACATCCAAGAGCTATTCCGGGAAGCCAGGGTTTATCTGGACCCGGCGGATCAGGCGAAGCCTATCGAGCACCTCACGCCTTGGGCGAAACAAAATTGCTTCTTGTTCTTCGCTTTTCTTCTCGATAGCGCGCGCCTATCACTGGTCATGCGAAATCTCGACCTTTGGTTCGACTTTGGCTATGTTGTCTGTTCAGACGCATACGAGGAAAACAACCTGTCAAATCTCTATCAGAGGCTTCTTTTCGGCAACAAGATAGCACAGGAACACTTTAGGAGTCTTGGCATGGAACATCTCGCGCCTCGGGATATTCCTGCTCGCAAATTTGAAGAGTTCTGGACCGCTTGGGAAAAGGGTTCGCTGATGGCCCTCTTTGAACGATACGAAGGCTCTCAAGTAGCTGACAGCTCGGCTCTGGCAGAGTTTCTGGCATACCCCGGAGGGAGCCCCCGGCCCTCCGTGTGGAGGCTAAGGCACTTCCTTGCCATTGAGGATGCCAATGTTCTGACAACCACTCCGGAGATTGCTGGAGCAGCGATCGAGTATGGATTCCAACCTGATCTGGATGTCAGAACCAGGATGAGCCTTCATCAGTTTTACCTTGGGCTTTTTCGGCGTGGCGTACCGCCAAGCATAGTTCACGAGGCAAAAAAGATGGGAGCGCTGGATAAGGTAGCGGAGTGGAGTCCTACTGATACTGATGTCGATGAGCGTGTGAAACAGGTATTGTCGAGTTTGTCGTGTGACAGTGGGTTCGAGGGCCTACAATCTAGCGGGAGCAGTGAAGGGAAGACCAAGGGCTGGTGGTGTATGGTTATGTAAACCAGCAAATCACCGGTACCCACGACAGTCACGGCCCCGGCGGTGGTATTAGCGGCACAATAGTCCGCTCAAACAACAGAGTAGCTCATACAACAGAATATGTAATACCAGGCTAATGACTTGCACCAGAATATTCCACAATCCAGCAAGCATTCCTCCAGCGCAACGTCGACCTACCGGATGCGACGATTCCCTAGCCAGGGGGTATAAGAGACACGATACATACAAGGAGATCATCCATCCAACTTCGCAGGATGTTCGGTGGACCACTGGAGGGTGGCCGATGTTACAACACCACGGTCACGAACATATATACAAAAGGGGCTATTGAAGCGCTCTCCATACCTATCCGCGATATCAAGCCCTACTATGGGCGGCCAAATTAAGCGGCTCGACCTCGCGCGGCACGTCCCCATACTTCGCGAGACGTCCAGTCTTCGAACACCCCTGAGCGAAAATCGGAAACAACAACAAACCAGGTCAGGATGGGCAATGAGGGAGGGAGAAAGAAAGAAAGAAAGAAAGACTAGGACCCAAGGATAGCCAAAAAGAGCATCCCCTATCAATAATGCAAGGAAAGGAGAGGAGCTTTACGGGTGATGAATCTGGAGGAGAGCCCCCATCACGGACAGTCCTGGACCGCTTCGAACAAAGCCTCGAATGGTTGACTGGTCCGCCACTTTTCCAACCTGAGGCTACTCTCGCTACCATTTTCTCATATTTGGGTCTTTTTTTTCTGTTCCCGCCAAAAAGGCGCCAGAACGGTCTCTCGTGAGAATCCCAAAACGCCCATCGAACCTCATCAAATCCAAGGCTGATCCACTTTATTTGACAGATTCCCGACAAGCAATTCTCCAACATAATCGCACAAGCGTCGCAAAAAAGCTCACCAAATGTTTGGTCAAAATAACAAATGATTCCCCATTCGGGATTTTGTCCTGTCATCGTTTCTATTGTGCCTTGTCTTATTCCAGGTTTCCACGTTGGGGCTCAAGCCTTACGCAAGCGGTTGTTCAGTCAGTCTCCCCCTATTTTCGCAACAAGAACTCGTCCGTCATTCGAAGGCTTTTCCCCTGGTCAGGATTTGGTTTCTGTCATGCCCAGGGCAGCATTTGAACTCGGAACCCCAGATCGCAGGAATGCAAGCGGACCTCTCCGGGTATTAATCTTACCTATCAAAATAAACTCCGAGGGGAAATATGTGCGCAAGCAATGTCCCCACCGTAAATAGGTACCGGACATCTCATCTCGCAAGCAATCCGAGTGGAATCAACCAACTTCTGGACACAGAAAATCATTTCTTCGTTGAAAGACCTAGAGCCGTTTTAGCGCTCATCTAATCGTCAACCTCATCACTACATACCAGATATATAATCATCGCAATTAAAGATGGCGAAACAAAGATGTCTGTCCAGTGTTCGGATGTTGTCCCGTTCCACGCGGGCCGATGTGGGGCCGACGCACAGACCCTGACCCGGATCCCTGTTGGCGGGCCGCGATGGAGCCCGGACAGAGATGAACCCCACCATCCAGCCCTCCCCCCACGACAAAATTTTGCAAAAAAAACATCTCAACACCGCATCCTGGCGATGGGATCGTCTGATCTGGACTTGCTGGGAATCGAACCCAGGACCTTTCGCATCTCGAGATGATGCTAAGCGAACGCTCTACCAACTGAGCCACAAGCCCGATGTGATTTGATGGAGAGCCGGGTCTCCGTTGGCGTCCACAAAGCGCGTTACGGGAGCTCAATGGTTTCCTCAGTATCCCGTGAACTTCCCCCATGAGTGCACCATGATCCAGGGACTGGAGCGGGGTGGTAGGCGAGCAGGAGACTTCTCAGGTTGTCATCGCCTCTTGCTGTCAGGTTGCGCCGGGCGGCGCACCAGACTCTGGGACGAAGAATTCCGTAGAGCACGTTGATCATCCAGTAAGATGACGAGTCTGGTAGGTCAAGGGTATTGGGACAGAGTATTGACCTCGGATGACATCTGCTTCTTCACTGTTATCGAAGCAGAAGGGCCGCCAATTGATGAGATGGGACAACTTTCCATGTGAGGGATGACGGCATCCCACGCCACCAACCAGCCATGTGGCTTACGATGAAGTGAACCGACACCTGGAGAACGGAGTCTGGCTGTTGAGCTGGTCCCGTTGTGCCCATTCAACGTGCAACGCTCAACGGTTGAGACTTTTCGGCGCTTCGGCACCCCTCGCGCTTTCCATCTCTATCGGCATTCGGCCAAGATCGGAGATGATGTGCCGCAAATAGGTTACGGAAAGAGCAACCTGGCCCCCAACCCGCGACTTCGCGACTCCTGAAGCTGAAATGAGTTCGTCTGATCCATTGCCCGCCGTCCACGCGCTAACTCTTCACCCCCGACCGCCGGCTCAAACTTCTGCGGGGTCGTTTTGGTTCGGCGGACCCGTGGAGAGCGGTCGGGGCGCCGACTGGCGACAGCGCGGGACCGAGTTGGCGGCCGACGGTGCCGATTGGCTTCACCTTGGCCTGACCGAGCGAAGGAACAAGTCCCAGGAGGCTGGAAGGGCGGGACTCATACCCCTGAGGGGGATCTGCAGGTGCCTGCATTGCCCCTCCAACCCCTCCTCCATTCACCTCAAGGAGGGGAAGGTGCTGCCCCTCCTTCAACGCACCGCAGCCTGACGGGAAGGAGCAATCCTGGAGGGAATAGAACCCAACGAGTGTCGGGGCGCGAGAACGCCATTCGGAAGCAGCCCCCTCAATTCGCAATTGGGCGTTTGCAGCTCCCGCCCCCTCTCATGAGGAAGCGGTCAAGACGCATGCCCCGACCTGACGCGGGGCAAGCTCACAACACCAGGACGGCATCGGGTCGCAACCAGACCAGCTTGGGCCCTGGGCTCGAGCCAGAGCCAGAGCGTCGCGAATTGATCGCGAAAAGCGCGAGCAAAACAAAGCACGGCGGCAATCTACAAGGCGCGGATCTGAATCAAGCTGCATCGCGACTGCAGTCTCCAGAGTCCGTCGTCTGCCGGACTATGAATCGGGGAGTTCCCGCGCTGCGGCCATTCCCCGCCCCACTCCGAAATGGGCGCGGTAGTGGGGTACGGAGTACCGCACTGGTGCAACTCCGCGTCTAGATTTATCCCAGCCCCTGTTGCCGCCCAAGGCCGGGCCAATATTGATTTGGTAGAAATACATGACCTTCCTGCCTGACGAGGAATCCGGGGTGTGTTGTTCCCTCTCTTCTTTTGTTCCTCCATTTGTAAAGACCTCTCTGCACCCGGTTCTGCTGGTTTAGACAAACGCAAAAGATACCCCGTTTTATAAGCGTGCCTTTAACACCGACCGTTTCTCCCACCACCCCACCCCCAACACCACAGCCAAAATGGTCATTGCCGTCCCCACCGCCAGCCTCGAGGGCAAGGTTGCTCTGATCACCGGTGCCGGCCGCGGTATCGGCAAGGGCGTTGCCCTCGAGCTTGCCAAGCGTGGTGCCTCGGTCGTTGTCAACTATGTCTCGTCGGCAGGGCCAGCGCAGGAGGTCGTCCAGGAGATTGAGTCGTACAACAACGGCGCCAAGGCCATCGCCATCCAGGCCGATGTCTCCAAGGTGTCCGAGATCAACCGGCTGTTCGAGGAGTCCAAGAGCCACTTTGGCCGCATCGACATTGTCATGTCCAACAGCGGCACCGAGTCGTGGGACAAGACCGAGGACATCACCGAGGAGAAGTTCGACCACGTCTTCAACCTCAACACACGCGCACAGTTCTTCGTCGGCCAGGCCGCCTTCAAGCACCTCGAGGACAACGGCCGTCTGATCCTCATGACCTCGATCGCCGCCGGCCTCCTGGGCGTCAAGAACCACGCTCTCTACAACGCCTCCAAGATGGCCGTCATTGGCCTCGTCAAGGCCTTCGCCACCGACTTTGGCGTCCGCGGCATCACCGTCAACGGCGTTGCCCCCGGCGGCATCAAGAGCGACATGTTCACCCAGAACGCGTGGCACTACATCCCCGGCGGCACCCCCGAGTGGCCCGCCGACAAGATCGAGCGCCTCATGGCCGAGCACTGCCCTCTTGGCCGCTGCGCTGTCCCTGAGGACGTCGCCCGCGTCGTTGCCTTCCTCGGCAGCGAGGACGGTGGCTGGGTCAACGGTAAGACTTGTCTCCCACTCGACAACACGAGCCCTGCTAACAACCGAAACAGGCCAGATCATCACCATCTCCGGTGGTTCTTCGCAGTAAGCTCGTTACTGCCACGCGACATGATTGATATGTGGGACGAGGCGCGTTGGTTGGGAGGTTGTTTGTTGGCAGCCAGGTGTTGACTGGCTTGGGACAGCGGCACCAAAGGCCGCCCCCATACTGTGACGGGAGCTGGCCAAGGCCCCTGGGGTGCACGGCGGAGCCAAATTAGAGTACAGGACTTTTATGGTTTCTCCAAAAACACAGTATCGATTTACCTCGATGAAATGCAAAAATTTCTCAGGACACCACTGTCAAGTCAATTGCCTACCCTGTGCAGAGAGAGCTCCAAAATGTTGGTTCGTTGCCGGAAACGGAAGGCGTAGCAGCCATCATGGCTCTTTCTCCTTGCCTTGACTTGAAGCGAGGGAGCACCTCACGCAGCCTTTGTTCTCTACCACCCCTTGTCCGTCGAGCCACCTTTCATTGACAGACAATAAAACACACTTTGGACCAGCTATCAAACCAGCGAAAATAGTATGGGGAATAAAACAACCTTTCGTTCCGGGATTTTTCTCTGCACAACACCCACCACCTACCGCTCGACCGCGCACCACCACGCCACAAATTCGCAATTACCTTGCCTTTCGTTAGTCTTCAACCATGGCGGAGTCCGGGTCGATTCCACCACCACCACTAAACTTCCCACGGGGCGGCGAGCCACCCCAGGCGCGTCCGGGAAACAAATGGACCCCGTGGGAAGATGTGTTCGGATACACAGTGGTGGCCTTCGCTCTTGATCTCTGGAGAAAGGGAGATCGAACATTTATGCCAGATGAGTGGCAGGGGCGTAAGGATGAGATTTTGGCATTCCGGCTTCCCAAGATATCGCCAACGGGAGATACAAAACGCCTCATATTCGAGGGGATGAACCCGTTTCCGTACTGGCCACCCGATCACCCCCCCGAAGCCCCGCCAAATTGGCTCGCCATTCCTCGCCTAAGAGACTGGACCCCGAGTGAGGAAGGCAAAGGCCGGGACGTGTTCGAGTTTGAGGTGATCCCCAAAGCGATGAAGGAGCCAGAGATGGCAGCCCTTGATATCAAGTTTGTCAAAATCTTGGGTTTTGGTGGACTCGGCTTCGCCGCCCTCTTCGAGGTCGAGCCAGACGTGCCCGGGGAGAGCAAGAGAAAGGTGGTGCTCAAGATGGCCAGAGAGCGCGAAGGCGGCTACGTTCACAACCAGGAGTCAGAATGGTCTGCCCACGTCAGAACGGCCGGAGCACAGCATGTCGTCCAACGAGTCCTGATGAAAGCCTCGGAGGCGATCTGGAAGGAGACGGATCGCCAGACGGCGCGAGCAAAAGCCGATGAGCTGAAGCACAAGCTGCTGTGGATTGAATTCATGGAGCGTGGCAGACTTGGCGACTATTTAGTGACATACAGCCAGATGGAGGAGCGCTTCACCGATATTACCATGGCCATGATCTTCGAGTGCTGTACGTATTGTCCCGCTCCCACTCCCCGTTGCGTCTGTCACGGCGGCGCGCTCACAGTACATGGAACCAGTCTTCTCGGGGCTTATAGCTTTATCGCTCCCGCGCGCATTTCACCAACCGGGTATCGATCCCCGGACAGAGCAGATGCCCGTTTGGAATGAGCGGGATCGAGGACCTCCCAACTATGATGGAGCTAGCTTGCCTCTCGTCCACTTTGACTTGGACTCCCAAAATGGTGTGCTCCTCCCTCCTCGGGCTTGGACGCAGAAGCTTGATGCTGACTATTAACGAACGAAAGTCCTCGTTGGGGACTTTGAGGAAGAAGGCGAAGCTGACCACGATGTCGTGCCTATCCTCAAGGTTTGTCCTCTAGAACGCTGAGGAGCCGCCCTGCCCATCAAATGGCCACGCTGACCTGTTTGGCTCTTTTAGATCGCCGACCTTGGCCTCTCTCGCCACCTGCACGCTTCCGAGACTGACATAAATGGCCCGTGAGTGGCGGCCCAAACATCCTACGCAAAACATGGCACAAGACTAACCTGGATTCATGAGATAGAAAAGCGTACTGGAGGGCCAGAATGATGGGCAAGAGTTCCCTCTACACACCGGTACGTCTTTCCCAGTTGTCGTTTACCCAAGGGTGGTCATTGTGACCTGACAGCGCTACTTCAGGAACAATTCACCGACGAGTGGGATTATCTCGATGTGTCACACTATCACGGAGCGATGCCGCATTACAACGACACCAAGATAGCTGGCCACTACGATGTAAGTCCCTTAGACCACCAGGCGTAAAAAGGCCACCTCCGCCAGGCACTAACAAAACTTCGACCCATAGTATCCGACCAACACATACCAGATGGGTTTGCTAATGTTCCAATGGCTGACCAAGCACCATCCTGAGCGCATCCCCGTGCCGTCACTTTGGCCATCGTGGTTCTTCGACGATATGGTTCCTAGAAGTGAGAATGTGTGGACCTATGGCGGCGCCCTAAACTATATGCGCAGTATGAACCCATCATGG